CCCAATTGCTCGTAGAGCCTCAGTTGCCAATCTTTACTTTTGACAAAATAGCTAATTGCAAACATAGAGAATAATAGGCTGATATATTATAGAAGCTCCAACACATAAAAATAAAGGGAGAAAACACAAGCATGCATATTGGATGACGAGCTTCAGTGGATATTTCAAGCTGTCCCTATGCTTTACTGCATGTTCAGCGCATTTTGCAGGTGTCCCTATGCTTTACTGCATGTTCAGCGCATTTTTCAAGCTTCAGTGGATGACGAGCCAGCGAAGGAAGAAGCTGTACAATATGATTTTTAATGTATTTTTTTACAGTTTGTTTTGTGTCTTGTTTGTCCTTCGGTGGTTTTGTCTACTGTTTTCCTTAATAAATAGTATTGAATACGAGATGTCCTTTCGATGTCTTTTCTCACACAAAAGAATAAAAGAAATTGCGCCTTGCACCCTTTCTTCCACGACTTGCAAAGGCCCGCCGAGATCCATGGCTTGGCACATGGACTTCGTCCAGTCACATTTGAGATTTACACATCATATGGGTCAATGTCTTTGACCAAAAGATATTAGTAATCAATTGATTTCATGTTGTATCCAGAGGAAACAGATGTACATTGAAACCTGGTCGATCGAGACTTCTTCCTTTGTGAGAACGGAGCGTATCTCAGTTAGCAAGGCACGGGAGTTCGCAGCCAGCCCACTAGGGTTCGAGTCTTGGCTCGGACGCTTGGTGCTCACGAAAAGTTTTCTTTTGTATAAAAAAATGCTAACAAGCTAGTCTAGTCTGGGTTGGTCTTTTTTTTTTTTAAACTCCTCCCTTCGTTTCCGTCGGGTGCCCTCCATCTCCAGCGACTATTCCCTGCGAGACAAGAGGAACCCCCTATCTACGTTCACAATGCAGCAGTTTCATTGTCTTAGAGGTCACATTTGACTCGGAGTCTCGGAGGCATCATACATGAGCCACAAGTCAGCGGAAGGTATGAGTTAATCAATTGATTTCCTGTTGCCCTCCTAATAATACTACTAGTAGCATGCATCCATAGCCGCCGGGCATATCATACTCACTAACCGAAGAACGCCATTAACTACTTCCAGAGGACCAGGCCCAGTCCCATGGAGGAAAGTCAATGCCAAGAATGGCAATGGAGCCGTGTCAAACGTCGATTGCCGGACCATGACGGAAGTCCCACAGTACGCTTCCGCTCTTGCAAAACGCCAATTTCCGGTGCGCTGGCGGGCGCCGCAAAGGTATACTGGACCTCTTCAATCATCGTTATCTCCCCGTGCAGAGCAGTCTTGACGGGCTACGGAGCACAATGCTACAACCAAATGCGGTACGTAGCAGTACTATATATATACAGGCAGAACTCCATCGTGGAAACATACTAGGCAAGAAAGGGAAAGAGAAATAGACAGCGGAAAGTTGCCTCCGTCGTGGAAACCGGCTAGGGGTGAGAGAGTTCAGTTTTGGCAACCAGCATCAGCATGGGAAGTGTTCCGGCAGCCACCCCCAGCGTGCGCGAGATCTGTCGCGCGCAGCGCGCCGACGGGCCGGCGGCCGTGCTCGCCATCGGCACGGCCAACCCGGCGCACTGCGTGCCCCAGGACGAGTTCCCCGACTTCTACTTCCGCGCCACCAACAGCGACCACCTCACCGCCCTCAAGGGCAAGTTCAAGAGAGTCTGTAAGCGCGCATGCTGCAAGCTCCAGCCCAGCTTTCTTGGTCATCTTCCATCTAGGACGTACGTGTTTGATCGGTCCATTAGCTAACTGTTTGTTTGGTTGGCATGTGTCGAGCACAGTTCAGAAGCTAGGCGTTGAGAGACGCTACCTCCACCACACGGAGGAGCTGCTCCGCGCCCACCCGGAGTTCCTCGACGACGAGGCGGCGTCCCTGGACGCCCGGCTGGACATCGTCGCCACCGCCGTCCCGGAGCTGGCCGCGGAGGCCTCTAAGAAGGCCATCGCCGAGTGGGGCCGGCCGGCCGCCGACATCACCCACCTCGTTGTCACCACGAACTCCGGCGCCCACATCCCGGGCGTCGACTTCCGCCTCATCGCGCTCCTCGGGCTCCGCCCCTCCGTGCGCCGCACCATGCTCTACCTCAACGGCTGCTTCGCCGGCTCCGCCGCGCTGCGCCTCGCCAAGGACCTCGCCGAGAACAACCGCGGCGCGCGCGTCCTCGTGGTCTGCGCCGAGCTCACCCTCATGCTGTTCAACGGGCCCAAGGAGGGCTCCTTCGAGAGGCTCATCCACCAGGGGCTCTTCGGCGACGGCGCGGGCGCCGTCGTCGTCGGCGCCGACCCGCTGAGCCCCGTCGAGCACGCCCTGTTCGAGATGGTGTCCGCCGCGCAGACGGTTATCCCGGACTCCGGCGACGCCATCACCATGCACATCACCAAGGGCGGGTTCGGCGGCAACATCTCCACGAGGGAGGTCCCGGTGTTCATCGGCGACAACGTCGAGCGGTGCCTCCACGACTCGCTGGAGCCGCTCGGCGTCGGCGCGAAATGGAACGACCTCTTCTGGGCGGTGCACCCCGGGTCGTCTGCCATACTGGACCGCATTGACACCGTGCTCCAGCTCGAGCCGGAGAAGCTGGCGGCGAGCCGCCGGGTGCTAAGCGACTACGGCAACATGTTCGGCGTGACGATTATATTTGTCCTCGACGAGCTGCGCCGGAGGCTTAGGGAGCAGGAAGGGGTCGGCGGCGCGCCGGAGTGGGGTGTGGTGATGACCTTCGGGCCGGGGCTCACCGTGGAGACGATGGTGTTGCACGCCACAGGGCACATGCATGCGTCCCCATGAAGAGGAATTGTCACTGGATTAACATGTCAATTCGTTGTATCAGTTGCACTTATTTGGCATTGTTTGAAGTCGTTTACCAAAACCATCCTTACTTGAATGTGTGCGTAATAATAAAGTCAAAGTTCAATAGTTTCAGGATCTATACAGTTTGGACTCTTTTTGGAAAAAATCACCATACGTTGATTAAGAAACGATGATACTATCATCCGTGACAAAATTCTTCATGACGGAACAGCCCCAACAAGCACTCTAGTCTAGAAACTAAATCATGTTTAGCAATCTCATGGGCCACTCTATTGCCGGCACGATCCACCTTTGCGATGCTACATTGGGGAATAGGGGGTCAATTTGTTAGATCAATTACACTTGATATTTGACATTGTCGTTCAGGTGAAATTGTTTAGCAAAACCAACCTTGATTGTGTGCTTGATAAAGTCAAAGTTCAAGAGTCTCGTGATTTATCATTTTCACATTTTTTTAATATAATACAATCTTGATCGTTGTATTGCAACATTTTCAACTCTTCCGCGGTTGCTTCACGATCCGGCTCTTTTTCGTCCTTAAAGAATTCACCTTGCAAACCACACGAACAACGAACCAAACGCCGGGTCATGACCAAGAATATGCATTTTTATTTTATGTTTCCAACTAGCAAAGTTTCTACCATCAACATATGGTCTTCTACGACGGTAATTTCCCTCACCAGACACCATGCTCTCTTTGGTGGTTAAACCAATGCAATGGAGACCAATGCTCCGATACCACTTGTAAGATCGCGGGTAGGTCTAGAGGGGCGTGATTAGATTACTTGACCAAATAAAACTTAACATTTTTCCAATTTTAGTTCTTGACAAGTTTTAGCAATTCACACAAGTTAAGCAACACCCTACACATGCAAGTCTAGATAGTGGGCAACGGAAAGTAAAGACTTTGCACATGAACATAAAGAAGGGGATCGGAGAAATCAAACGCAATAAAGACACGGTAATTTTTGGCGTGGTTCGGATAGGTGGTGCTATCGTACACCCATGTTGATGAAGAATTCAACCCACAGAGGGTCACGACTACACAAGTTCACGGAGGGATCCACCCACAAAGGAACGAAGAAGCAACCTTATCTATGCCGTCATAACTTACGTCCATGAAGGACTAGACTCACTCGGGGGTAGATCTTCACAAAGTAGTCAATCTCCTTGCCCTTACAAACTCTTGGTTCAACTCCACATGATTTGGAGGCTCGTAAGTGGCACCTAACCAATCTAGGAGACACCACTCTCCAAAAGCTAATAGATGTTGTTGTTGATGATGAATTCCTTGCTCTTGTGCTTCAAAACATAGTCTCCTTAACACTCAATCACTCTGTCACAGATTTGGCATGGTGATGAGAGAAAGATTGGAGTGAAAAGCGACTCAACGGTGCTAGAAATCAAGGATCAAATGGTTCGGGTGGAATCCCTTGATATCAACACAAGTGTAGGTGGTTCTATTAGAAAATGGATATGGGAAGTGGTGGCTTCGTCCTGGTTGCACTCTCTGAGAGTAAGTGGTGTGGGTGGGGTATATATAGCCTTCGCCAAAAATCTAACTGCTACACACCTTTATGCACAACTCGGAGGGACCGAATGTAAAATTCGGTGAGACCGATTAGTGCGAAAGGTTTGAATTTCGAATGTTTCGGTGGGACCAGATGAATCCAGTCGGTGGGACCGATTTGAGATGACCTAAGAACTATTAGCGTTTCGGTAATTCCGATCGGTTTCACTTGGTAATTCTGAAATGAAGTCGATGGGTTATAGAAAGTTTGCTAGTGCACTTCGGTGGGACCGAATGCCATCTCAGTGAGACCGACTTTCTAGGGTTTACGCAATGACTCTGTCAAGTGTATCTCGGTCGATCCAGATGAATGTGTATCGGTGTGACCGAGATGAACTTTAGGGTTTTGGACATATTGGAATGTGAGGGTGTGGTTGAGGGTTATGGGGCAATATCTTCAAGCACTTGAGCAAATTACTCATGATCAAAACCCCATCCCCTTCTAATAGTATTGGCTTTCCTATGGACTCAATGTGATCTTTGATCATGCAACCAAAAATGTAAGGTCTTGAAACTTTTGCCAATGCATATCCTTTGCATTTTGAGGGGTCAATATTCACATGTTCTTGTCATACCTACATTGAACTTTCCTGAAATAATCCTTCAATAGGTATTAGTTCAATGATGTGCATGTTGTGATTAATTACCAAAACCACCCAGAGATTAGTTGCACTTTTGGGCCTGCCTACCACGGTTGGAGCGGACATGAGCTACTATTTACAACATCTTATCGACAGATTTTGTCAACGGCTTAAAGGGTGGAAGAAAAAAGTTCTCTCTATGCAAGGTAAGGAGATTTTGTTTAAATATGTAGCACAAGAACCACTTACTATGCTATGTCAATTTTCAAATTGCCAAAGGGAATATGTAAATCAATTACTGATAAAATTTTGGGCTTCTGGTGTGAAGATGGGGAAGAGAAAAGATGCACTGGTTTGCAAGGTGAAAGATGTGTGTACCAAAGAAGATGAGGGCTTGGGGTTCAGAGACCTACACAATATTACCTTGCTATGTTAGCAAAACAGTGTTGGCGACTACTCGAAAGTCCATAATCTCTCTGTGCACGAGTGTTGAGTGCAAAACGTTGCCTTATACGTCTCCAACGTATCTATAATTTTTGATTGTTCCATACTATTATATTATCTGTTTTGGATGTTAATGGGCTTTATTTTACACTTTTATATTATTTTTGGGACTAACCTATTAACCCAAGGCCTAATGCAAATTGCTGTTTTTTTTGCCTATTTCAGTGTTCCGCAGAAAAGGAATATCAAACGGAGTCCAAACGGAATGAAACCTTCGAGAGCGTGATTTTTGGAACAAACGTGATCCAGAGGACTTGGAGTGGATGTCAAGCAACCAACGAGGTGGCCACGAGGCAGGAGGGCGCGCCTACCCCCCTGGGCGTGCCCTCCCCCCTCGTGAGCCCCTCATGGCTCAACCAACCTACTTCTTCCTCCTATATATGTTCACATACCCCGAAAACATTCAGGAGCACCACGAAACCCTATTTCCACCGCTACAACCTTCTGTACCCAAGAGATCCCATCTTGGGGCCTTTTCCGGAGCTCCGCCGGAGGGGGCATTGATCATGGAGGGACTCTACATCAACTCCATGGCCTCTCCGATGATGTGTGAGTAGTTTACTTCAGACCTTCTGGTCCATAGTTATTAGCTAGATGGATTCTTCTCTCTCTTTGGATCTCAATACAAAGTTCTCCTTGATTCTCTTGGAGATCTATTTGATATAATCTTCTTTTGCGGTGTGTTTGTCGAGATCCGATGAATTGTGGGTTTATGATCAAGATTATCTATGAACAATATTTGAATCTTCTCTAAATTCTTTATGTATGATTGGTTATCTTTGCAAGTCTCTTCGAATTATCAGTTTGGTTTGGCCTACTAGATTGATCTTTCTTGCAATGAGAGAAGTGCTTAGCTTTGGGTTCAATCTTGCGGTGCTCGATCCCAGTGACAGTAGGGGAAACGACACGTATTGTATTGTTGCCATCGAGGATAAAAAGATGGGGTTTATATCATATTGCATGAGTTTATCCCTCTACATCATGTCATCTTGCTTAAAGCGTTACTCCATTCTTATGAACTTAATACTCTAGATGCATGCTGGATAGCGGTCGATGTGTGAAGTAATAGTAGTAGATGCAGGCAGGAGTCAGTCTACTCGTCACGGACGTGATGCCTATATACATGATCATACCTAGATATTCTCATAACTATACTCGATTCTATCAATTGCTCGACAGTAATTTGTCCACCCACCATAATACTTATGCTATCTTGAGAGAAGCCACTAGTGAAACCTACGGCCCCTGGGTCTATTTTCCATCATACAAGTTTCCAATCTATTTTATTTTGCAATCTTTACTTTCAATTTATATCATAAAAATACCAAAAATATTTATCTTATTATTATTATCTTTATCATATCTCACTCTTGCAAGTGGCCATGAAGGGATTGACAACCCCTTTATCGCATTGGTTGCGAGGTTCTTATTTGTTTGTGTAGGTATGAGGTGACTCGCACGTGGTCTCCTACTGGATTGATACCTTGGTTCTCAAAAACTAAGGGAAATACTTACGCTGCTTTGCTGCATCACCCTTTCCTCTTCAAGGGAAAACCAACGCATGCTCAAGAGGTAGCAAGAAGGATTTCTGGCGCCGTTGCCGGGGAGATCTACGCCAAGTCAAGATATACCAAGTACCCATCACAACTCTTATCCTTCGCATTACATTATTTGCCATTTTCCTCTCGTTTTCCTCTCCCCCACTTCACCCTTGCCATTTTATTCGCCCTCTTTTCCTTTTTCCCTCTCTTTCCGTTCGCTTTTTCTTAGCTTGTTTGCTTGTGTGTTGGATTGCTTGCTTGTCACGATGGCTCAAGATAATACTAAATTGTGTGATTTTGCCAATACCAACAATAATGATTTTATTATCACTCCGATTGCTCCTCTTACCGATGCTGAATCTTGTAAAATTAATACTGCTTTGCTGAATCTTGTCATGAAAGATCCCTTTTCTGGCCTTCCTAGTGAAGATGCCGCTACCCATCTAAACAACTTTGTTGATTTGTGTGATATGCAAAAGAAGAAAGATGTGGATAATGATATTGTTAAACTTAAGTTATTTTCGTTTTCGCTTAGAGATCGTGCTAAAGCTTGGTTTTCGTCTTTGCCTAAAATAGTATTGATTCATTGAATAAGTGCAAAGATGCTTTTATCTCTAAGTATTTTCCTACCGCTAAGATCATCTCTCTTAGAGATGATATTATGAATTTTAAGCAACTTGATCATGAGCTGTTGCACAATCTTGGGAGATGATGAAATTAATGATACGCAATTGCCCTACACATGGTTTGAATTTATGGATGATTATACAAAAAATTTAT